TATATATATATATAATTAAATTAAAGAATTAAACTAAAATACAAACAATATAAAAAAATTTAAGTCATGAATGTAATATTCAGTAATGATAATAATAATAAACATGTATAATATATATATATATATATATATATATATATACATACATTACACATCTCAAACGCAAACAGAGCGCCTGAAAAGGAGAAAAAAAAGTTGCTTATTGTAATAAACAGGGTTCCCACTCTGTCATAGACGCCACATTCAAGGACTTTTTAATCACTAATCACTAGTGATTTTAAATCACAGCCATAGCGTATATAGTGCCATGAAAGTCCTTACACTTGCACTTAATATTAACATTAAAATCTCATGGTAACGATGATGTTTTGTTTTGAATGTGTCATTTAAAAAATAGTAGACCGTTTTAAACAACCGTGTTGAAAACACATTTAAAGTAACATGACGTTTTTTTAGATAAAAATCTAAAATCAAACACAAAGTGCTCAGGGGTAGCTTAAATAATGTGTCTGTGCTCTTTGGGTAAGAGATTTATTAGAGTAAACAGCAAAAATCAGTCCAAGGTACTCGAAAAATGTGGAATAAATATTGATAAGTCTTTATTTTTAAAGGCTTTTTTTTTCACATTTTTCGAGCGCCTTGGACTGAATTTTAAAGTTTATTTTAACGTTTTTTTTTTAATTTTAGTATCAGTATTGTTAACTTTTAGGATATCTATAAGCTAGTGTGCCCCAAAACTGTGATCAAATTCACATATAGAAGATATAAAACTGATAAAAACATGTAAAGCTTGTAGTTTGTCACAGACACTTAAATGAATCAATGGTTTTATTTACGTCACTTCATACTTTAGTTTCTCATCACATGACAACCAATCAAATGCACTCTAGTATCTTTATATGCCCCGCCTCCTTTAAGATACTTTGCATTTGCTTTTCATTTGATGCACTTGAGATCGACCACTCTCACTGGCAGAAATCTATTGGCTGTTTTTTTTTTTTAAAAGTGAAGGAGCTGCTCTGTGTCCCACCCTCTCATTGTTTCTCGATTGAGATTACGTAAAAAACATTAAATAAAAATGCATATTTCAAAGCATTTCACTGGACTTTTAATACAATTAGTTGAATTCAATACTGGTAATATTCAAATGCAGGCCCTGAAATATTGATAAAATGTACTATTTGTCATAGATTTAAACTTCATAGTTTTTTTGTTCATTTTAACGCAGCACAGTACAATTGTTGAAAAAACACAGTAAATTTTAAATTCACACATTTTCAAGGACCTATGTTTGTTTTTAAGTACTTTCCAGGCCTTGAATTCCTGTCTAGAATGTAAGTAGTTTCATGAAGCGTGGGAACCCTGAATAAAAATGATTCCAGATTATTTTAAAATGAATCTTTTATGCAAAAACATCGCACAGATCTGGTCATTTAAAAGCAGCACCTTCTCTGCGTCTGGAGTTCTTCTTGTCCTGAATGGCGTCCGTCAGGGTGGTCATGATCTCCTGCTGTTTGAGTGATAAGATGCCCAGACCTTTGACCAGTCCGGCCAGTCCGTATGCGGCTCCTTTGCGTTCGGCGTACTTGTCGCTCTCCAGAAGCAGCTGCAGGAGTTTCCGCACCATCCCTCCTGCATCCTCCTTTATAGCAGGAACCAGAGGAGGAAGGCAACTGGCCACCGACTCCTGAACCTGAAGAGCAGAAGACACAGAGAGACATGTCAGGGCCAGGACACATTAAGCTGATGCCAACGAGCACAAAAAAAAATCCAACTGTGTTTTCGCCTCACATTGGATCGCGTCTGGACCAAAAAGGTGCACGTGAACACACCAAACAGATGACAGCCGACTGAAACGAGAGCTGCGTTCGGCGTCTGGGCAAGATGACATTTCTTTCTGCTCCGTAGGGGGCAGTATCTGTTTAACCCAAACTTCTGACGTGCACAGATGAATCGTAAACAAACCAACATTTAAAACCGTTGTTATTAATTGTCACTCATCAAGGAGAAATCCGCTCCTGCAAACATGTCTAATAATTTGATAATCATTTGCAAATAATTCAGAAATATAGCAAAATTAAAGCCTCTTTTAATTAATTTTAATTCTCTTTACCCTCTTTGTGTTCCTTCTTATCTTCATTTGTTTACATGCTACGTCACTTCACTACGTCACACATACACACACAAACACACACTCAGACTCTTATTCGTTCCTTAATAACCAAACAGAGCGTTCTCTTTAGCCGAAGTCTATGCAACTTGCTGAATTAGGTCAACAAGCTCTGAAGTTAACCTGACGAGAGGCGACGTGTAGAAAACACCAAACCTTACCGAAACACTTATCGAAAACACTTATCAAATGCTAACAATAGACAAAAAGGCCTGCAGACCTGCTGTGAGGGAGTGGAAAGGGCTGTGATCAGCTTGGCCACGATGGGTTTGACTTTGGGGTCGCTCTTGTCCAGATGTTTGGCCAGCGAGCCCATGAGGATGACGACACTCTGCCGCACAGAGTCATAGCTGGCGTCCTGCGGTGCGTTCTTCAGAAACTCCTCAAACACGGGCAGCAGAGAGCTCACGTTATCCTGACACAGAAAGAGAAAGAATTTAATACGGCACCAGTGTTACTTTAGTATTACTTATATACTACAGGGTCCCCACCCTAAGTCAACTATGAAAATCCCTGACTTTTTCTGACAAAAAGGCTGAATTCTCAAGGCCTACTCTTTAGAGAATAATATTGATTAAAAAACAGGCAGCCTTTGTGCTGTGTATTCATTCCAGAATTTATCAATTCTGCGATTACTAAAATTGTTTTCAAATGACTCAAAATTTAGAGAAGCTTGAATTTTTTTTCCAATTGTCATAAAATTTCAAAAAAAGATTTGGACCATCCAGAACCTGTGCAAATTACTTCCGCACAATCTGCATTAGGGCTGCACAATATACCGTTTCAGCATATCAGATATAGCAATGTGTGCATCTACAATTGTCACATTGCAAAGATGCATTGTTGAGTCTGAACTATGGCTGACCAGAAGCATATATACATATACATACATACATACATACATATATATATATATATATATATATATATATATATATATATATATATATATATATATATATATATATATATATACACATACATATATACATACATACATATATACATATACATACATATATACATACATACATACATATATACATACATACATACATATATACATATACATACATATATACATACATACATATACATACATATATACATACATACATATATACATATACATACATATATACATACATACATATATACATATACATACATATATACATACATACATACATATATACATACATACATATATACATATACATATACATACATATATACATACATACATATATACATATACATACATATATACATACATACATATATACATATATATATATACATACATACATATATACATATACATACATATATATACATATATACATACATACATATACATATATACATACATACATATATACATATACATACATATATACATACATACATATATACATATACATACATATATACATACATACATATATACATATACATACATATATACATACATACATATATACATATATACATTAGGGTTGGGCATCTAAGCTATAATGCAGATCCGATACGCATCTCGATACAAAGAATACGATCCGATATATTAGCGATACATTTGTGACATTGCGATGCAACACTATACGATTTACACCCATATCACGATACAATGCGATAATTCAGCACTAACTAATTAGATCAAGTTTATGAGATGATGTAAGAAAGGATGCTGTGCCATTGAGTTTGATTATTTATTAACAAAGTAAAACCAAGACTTTTTTTACAAACTGGCTTTTCTCTCAGAGCCAGAGTGTCAGTTTACAGTAGAGGGCCATTTTAGAACCTATAGCACATATTATTTAAGTATGTTCAAGATAAACAGAATGTATAAGTGCAATATATATTATAAATGTATATATTTGCACTCTTTCAACATAAAGGTTTAGCATTGCACAACAAGAATTGTGATTTAACTTTTCAACTATGAAAACAAGTTTTACAAAGATATATTGTGCCACTTAAGGTTGTGAACTAGCAGTGTTATGCTGCTTTGAAACATCACTGTCACTGTAAACAACAGGCTAATGAAAATATAAATAAATAAAAATTAACAGGAGGTGTTTAAAACCTTCGTTCTCCGTGACACTAGGCTGAATATCTTTGCAGATGAACAATGCAATAGCATTCGTTATTGGCGTAGAGCGAGCAGAACTGTTGCGCATGGAGAAAACTTTCAATGCTTTTCTCACTACTTTTGGAGCTGGTAGCTACAGTTGAAGCAGAGCAGGAAGCCGGGGATACAGGAACACTGGAAGATGCTTCCACAACAACACCGAGGCGCCGCTTCAAGTGAGATTTCAGATTAGTCGTACTGCCCGCGTATTTTACAGATGCGCGGCACATTTTGCAAAGTGCATCTGTCCTGACAAGTCGTCCATCCTTTTTGCAAAATCCATAATGTTGCCATACTTTAGATTTAAAACTCAGTGAGGAATAAAATGTTTGTTTTGCTTCTCGCGCTTTCTGAGGGCGCTCCACTAGCTTCATCCGCACACCTGATACACTGAGTTGTAGTGTAAGTGTACACATCCGCAAGTCCGTTGCTAATGCATACTTTATGTAGGTTGATTAAATTATGCGCCAAAAACAGGTTGACAACACTTGTTAATAAATAAAAAATACATTCTATATTAAAAATATAAGTTGTATCTTGGAAAAACCGATCCATCTCGCAAAAACCGATGCATCTCGATTTGCTTCCAAAATTTCATTCATCCTCTGCTGCTCTAACGATGCACTCGCATCGTGCACGCGCATGACGGCGTATCGATACATATCAGTTAATCTTCCCATCCCTAATATACATACATACATACATACATACATATATAAATATACATACATATATACATACATACATACATATATACATACATATATACATATACATACATATATACATACATACATATATACATACATATATACATATACATACATATATACATACATACATATATACATACATATATACATATACATACATATATACATACATACATATATACATACATATATACATATATACATACATACATACATACATATATACATACATACATATATACATACATACATAAATACATATTATTTTGAGAATTGTTTTACAGACTTGTGACTGCATTTGACTGCAAATTGATAGGTGGAAAAGGAATAAAATAAAAAAATAGAAAAAATAGAAAGTAAAAATGATACAAAAACATCCCTTATATTCCATGACTTGGACAAAATATATATACAAATCCCTCACTCTTAATGTCTTTTAAAACTCCAACATACTATGACCTGTGCAAACCCTGATACTATTATAATTGAATATAATATGGTTTAATGTGATGAGTTACCTTGCCGTGTGTGTTAAGAGCAGACAGTGCCGCGTCCAGCATGCAGCGCCGCACCTCAGGGTGTCTGTCATTCAGAGCGTCCGGCACAAAGAACAGGAAGAGTGGCGTCACCTGACTCTCGTCCAGGTACTCAGCCAGTTTGTTCAGCGCAAGAGCAATGCCACACCTGCACACAAGAAACACATTTTCATTTTTGGATGAACTATCCCTTTAAAAAAACAGCAATTTTTATAAAAAAATATAACAATAAATATACATAAAATAACATAAACAAAAAAAACATGCAAAACAAATAGCAATAACAATTAAAAACAATAACTTTTACTTTGCTAGATGTTACCCAAAAAGATCTCAGATCATAAAAAACTAAATCATACAGTAACTGATTTCTATAATAGCTGTATAAGTATAATATGTAATATAATATAATAACTAATTTATCTAGGTACTCAAATCAAAGTGTTCACCAAAGTTCTGTACAGACAAGAGTTTGGTAAAAATCAAAATAATAAACAGGAAACATTATGAAATATTATGAGAGAGAATAAAATAGAAAATAAAATGAAATAAAACTAAAATAACAGCTCTTTCGGGCAGGTTTTTAAGCTAGACTTAAAGGTGCAGTATGTAAGTTTGACACCCAGTGGTTCAACAAACACAAGAGCAGGTTACCAGATTGAGGTGCAAAAGGAGCGAGCCTGACTACTGAGCCTAAACGCTGATGCAAGGCTGATATAAATCACGTTCTAAATAAAAGCGATGGCACGCGATAGAAGGAATATGTTTGTCCTAACCAGTACCTGGAATTTATATTTTAGGAGCGGTTTCTATTTTTTGCAGCTGAACAAGAGAAAACTTGATGACAATGATCACCTCAGGTAGACCTCATGCGCTTTATTCAGTGTTAAACGCTAACAATGCCAGTTTAAATGCTATTTTACATGACATTTATTGCCATATAACTAAAAGCAGCAGCAGATAGTTCACCTCAGATCTTGAAAATAAAAGAAACCATATGAGATAGAATTGTAAAATTGGAAACTTCAGAATTGTAAAATAATGCAAACCAACAACGATCAGTGATTCAGCATGTACATTTAATAATATTAAAGAGGTTTCATTTGTATTAATTACATTATAAACCTTACCATTTCACTAGAGTGCAGTGAGTGCACTATTCTGTGCTTCTGAATGGCTGCATTTAAATTTCTGTCGTGTTTCGTCTGGTGCAAACAGCCAAATTGCTTATCACTGCAAATCTCATCACATAGCGTTTTGTTAGGACATGGAGTTACAATGTTACCTGCTCACCTAACGTTTACGCTTGCAATATTCATATTATTTGCTAATTTACAACCACCTCATGTGGAACTCTGAATCTGCATCTCATTTCAGAGTCTACTACTGTCCACCGGAGGTCAAATTTCAGTCACGCATGCTTTGAGAGCCTTTTGAATGAATGAATGCGGTTTTCCAAAAGTTAACCCGGGTGCTGAAAGATAATTGGCTAAACTGGCATTGGGCTGGTTAGAGGGACCAAAACAAAGACAGACGTTCTGGCACATAACACACATTTTCAAGGCAGAACATCTGACTTCAGCATTGTTTTTCAGATAAACAGGAATGTTCACTGAGCATGTTTCTGAAATATCTGCAAACATATTCTGGTATTTTTATGCTTTAGAAAAGTCAAAAACTTACATACAGCACCTTTAAAAGTATTTGGTCCTTTCTAACATGTAAAGGCAGACATACACTCCAAAAGCACGGTCTAACTGACTAATAAAATACAACATCAAAAAAGAAAAGAAAGAAAATAAAAAACTTAACTAAAATTAAAATATAAAAATCCCCAAATAGTCATAAATAAGCATATTTAAAAAGCTCTCACCTGGCCTCCCATTGATCAGGAGGTGCTTCAGAAATAACGCGTCCAAGAGCATCCAGAACTGGAGGCGGCCTCTGAACAAACACCACAATCCACATCAATTCAGAACAATACATAACAATTATTGTGAAAACTGCTTAACAAATCAATTTGAATTGAGCTACATTTGAATCATATGAATAAAAAAAAGCAGTGTGGGTAATTGATGACATTTAACTCAACAGCTAGGGCTGAACAATATATTGATGAGCATCAATATAACAATGTGTGTATCCACTAATAATAATAATTCCTTACATTTATATAGCGCTTTTCTGGGCACTCAAAGTGCTTTACACATTGGGGGGAATCTCCTCATCCACCACCGATGTGTAGCGATGACGTGACAGCAGCCATATTGCGCCAGACCGCACACCACACACCAGCTGATTGGTGGAGAGGAGACAGAGTGAAGAAGCTAATTATGGTATGGGGATGGTTAGGAGGCCATGATGGACAGAGGCCTGTGGGAAGATTTGGCCAGGATGCCTTGGATTTTTAACGACCACAGAGAGTCGGGACCTCCGATTAACGTCTCATCCGAAAGACGGGCCACATTACAGGATTAGTTCATATAGTAAAGCTTAAAAGATAAAGATAATATTGAATGTTTATCTTTTTAAATTGTTTACACGATGACGACCATGTAGTTTTACATTTGATGGTTCAATTTCTGTACTATAATACTGTTGGACTCCCCAGAAAACCATAGAGTTGTTTTTTTTTTACTTTTATTTTGCTCTATATGCTTGTAGTTTATTATTATTTATGCGGAAGCACTGCATAGAAAAAGACTTGATTATCCCGGTTGATCTAAATGAATAAAATCTTTCCAAATAGAGCTGTTCAAATTATTTGGTGAAATTATATTTATATCACAGCAAAAAATATATATATATATTTATACAACAGTTCTGTCTGGTTCTCGAATCTGATTGGCTGATAGCCGTGATATATTTAAGTAATATCAGCACCCGTACAGCCTCTTTACCCTTTGTGTATCACTCCGCCCACATACAGCCAGCAAAAAGCAGACACTACAGATCTAAAGTTTAAAAGATGTTTGCTCAGCTGTTTAAGATTTGAATTTAATGCAGAAGAAAGTAGTTCCTCATACACAAAGGATTTCAGACTCTCCATGTTTGATTTCGTTTTTATATACACA